TATGCTTATGTTTAAAAGCCTGCCAAATTAATGTTTCAGAGAATTATTGTTATGGATTGAAAACCGGATAGGGAAATAATGTGATTATTGTAACTAATGGAGTGCAAGGTACTGAAGTATAATAAGCAAAGCATAATGCTGACTTGTCTCTAGCTAGAGTATGAACTTACTATGGAGCTCAAAGAAATTGATCCCATATTGTTTTTCTTATATTTTCCTGTTTCCCCCAGATTCATCATATTGCCCACAATGGAGGTTTATATAAGAGACCTTTCAATGAAACTTTTGAAGAAACACCAATGCTGGTTGCTGTACTGACTTATGTAGGCTATGGTGTGCTCACCCTTTTTGGATATCTTCGAGACTTTCTACGGCAGTGGAAAATTGAGAAATGCCATAATGCAACAGAAAGAGATGAACAAAAGGTAATGTTTTGATTTAGAGGCAAAGTACCGGTTAATGTGCTTGCAATGAAGTAGACACAAAAGTTAAAATAGGCCATTGTTTTCTGAGTATATCTTTCAATCTGCATTAGTTGGCATTAAAACATAGATTGAAGCATGCTTAGTTAACTGTAGTTTAAAATTGTATTCCAAATGATTAGTTAAATTATGCTTCGTGATACTTCAGGCTTCTGAAACTATCCTAAATCATACAGTACTACCCCATATCAGTATGTGAATTACACTCTTACTGTTGACTGCCAATTAAGATGAGGTGAAGAAACTGAGTACTTGCCTCTTTGGGTGGGTCTTGGCAGAGTTGAAAATAGTACATTCCTGGGTAGTTCATTCAGAGAGAGAGAGAGAGATTCCCCCTTTATTGCCTCCTTCATTTACAATTGTAAATGCTGTTTTAAAGTAAAGTGTCTTATGTATCAGTGTGATGTAAGGAACAAAAGAAAGAAAAGGAAAAATGCCTGGAATTATTTATCATAAACCAAACTCCTACAAATTTCACCATATTGGTAAGAAGTTACATTTCTTTGTTTTCTATTGAAAATATATATGTAATGCTGACACAAAGCACACATCCAGCAATCCACTAATAGTCCTACCACCATTATGTAAGAAGTCTTTTAAGCATAACTCATGTACAAAGAACCCAAAATGTTGTATTTTGATGTTCCAAATACAAGGGGTTCTAGCCAAGGAGACCTTTGTATCCTTGACAAGCAGCAATTTCTCTGAAATCTTGTTAACAGTTTTGTCAATTTCAGCCCAATATGTGGTACTAGTAAGACAAGCCAAAAACATCCAGGTTAATGTTCCAGTTCTTGAACTGTATTTCCACCCACAAGGTAATTGCAAATAATAGTTTCCAGAGGTATCCAATAAAGAGAAAACAATATTTTAGCCTAATGTTAAGAAAAGAAGTAACTAGTTTCTGATTTTTAAAGCATCTTTTAAATATAGGATATTCGAACTGATTATTCCAGTGGTCATGTAATTATCATCTACTTCCTTTAGTGTCGTATGACAGAAATATATAAATCTGTCTTATAATTGCTTGAATTAATTAAGCGTAGTGTTAAATTAGCTGGTATTAATAGCATGATCTGTTTCTGAAATATTGCTAAACTATAGTAATTGTGGTAAGTAGTGTATTGGCAGAAGGGTAAGTAAGTGGGTGGCAAGATTACCAGAACAGAGAATTGTAGGTTGTTATATGGGCCAGGCACTCAAACAATCTGATCTAGTTTTCTTTTTGCTAGATTATTAGCCTTTACCCTGTGATGTGTGATCAAAAGTGATATGTGAGTTTTTTATTGTTTGTAAAGGGTATTCCTTTTGGGTAAAGTATTTCTTTCTCAGTTTTAAGTGTGATATAAACCATGACTATTGTTGTGAGCTGCTTAGATTCATGATATGGGCAGCCTTATCAGTGCTGTAAATAAATAAATGTACCCTCCTTGCCAGTCAGCAGGCTTAGATATTCGCAGGGACATCCCCAATAAACATCCACAAGAGAGAGATGTTCTCTTTCACATAGGCAGAGGCAGGTCCCCCTAGCCCACCGGTCCCCAACCTTTTTGGCACCAGGGACCAGTTTCGTGGAAGACAATTTTTCCGTGGACCGGGATGCTGGTTTCGGGATGATTCAAGCACGTTACATTTATTGTGCGCTTTATTTCTTCTATTATTATTATTATTATTATTATTATTATTATTATTTCTATTATTATTTCGGCGGGAGGAAATGCTGGTGGCGCTTTGCACGGGGATAGGAATCGGTTACTGGTTCAGCCTAGACGCGAACGTCGGAAAGACGTGATGCAATGGAAGATCAGACTCCCCTGCGACTGCCAGCTGGGCTCAGCCCTAGGAAGGAGGCAATGGCAAACCACTTCTGAAAAAAACCTTGCCAGGAAAACTGCAGGGACTTGTCCAGGCAGTCTCCGAAGAATCGGACACAATTGAACGAATTAAAAAAAAAAGCTCGTGGGCTTACCAAAACTGTGACTGAGAGAAGCGCACAGTGCGGGAAAGAGGTGCGGACAGAAGTGTTAAATAAAATAATGGTGGGCCACGCATGGAGTAAAATAAGTGTCAGATTCTGAGCATGCAACCTAGATCCCTCGCATGCTCAGTTCACAGTAGGGTTCGCGCTCCTATGAGAATCTAATGCTGCCGCTGATCTGTCAGGAGGCGGAGCTCAGGTGGTAATGCAAGCAATGGAGAGTGGCTGTTTTTGCTCACTCACCTGCCGTTCACCTCCTGCTATGCGGCCTGGTTCCTAACAGGCCACGGACCGGTACCAGTCTGTGGCCTGGGGGTTGGGGACCCCTGCCCTAGCCCTTCACTCTCTTACAGAAGATAGAGAAAAGTCTTGTTCTTTTTTAAAATAAGATAGAAGCTAGGAATCAAAGTTAGGAAAAAGACTTGGCTCTGTCCTTATCAGTAACTTCAATCCCTAGAAAGTGAGTAGTTCAAGAATAATTGAGACAAAGAAAATCTATTTCAGATATTGTTTATCTTGGAAAAGATAGGTGTAGCCAGGTATTCCACATTGAGTTTTTGATTTTTTTCTCTGTGTGATATTAAGGCAAACCTCATTCCTTCATTGTCGTTATTTCTGTTGAGGAGGGCTAATAATATCTACGTGGCATAGAAACAGAAAAAGGAGTGAGCAAGCTACCTGATGATCCTGGAGGAAGAGGAGACAGATAATAGAAACCAGACTATTGGCTTTTCTCTGGTGTGAAAGGAGTCAGTATATGGACATGATAAAAGTAATTGTTTATGGTACATGGTGCTAGCATCTGTATGGGGGAAAGTTAGAGAGTCCTGATAGTAGAATGTAATTTAGAAATGTTTGGGCAGCCTGTAGTGTTATCAGATGCTACATTCTGGCTGGTCACAATGTGATATACATTGCTTTTTGGATCATTCCTACATAACATTTCTGGGGGTATATAACCCATAACCTTGCTGAAACTGGGGTTGTTTTGCATTCTTCTGGCCGGGAGGCCAGTGGTCACTGTAATTGTACACACCAATGAAAGATACTTTATTGCATGTATCTCCAACTGCTTTGGTTCCTCATTTAGGTGGGCATTTTTTCTACAACAGCATGGCATAGTTTGCAGGAGCAGAAGGTCAAGAGCTGGGTCAGTCTGCTGGGTTCATCATGTCTCTGTCATTTTCACAGGTTCACAGTTTCTGCGCATGCCCTTCTTTCTCTCCAATCCAGAAGTAGTTTGGAGGTACATGGTTGGAGCTAGGTTGCAAAGAAATATGTCAGGGACTTGACAGGAGCAAGTCTGGGTGACTAGCAATTCTGAAGGGCAAGTCACCAGTTCCTGCCATCTGACTCTGGAGGAGCGAGTAACAGGCAGTGGAACTTCAAAGGACACCTTGTGTGGATACATTAGGAATTTTGATGCTTTGATGTTAGTTTTATTTTGTCTGCTTCAAGCTGAGAATGAATGTAATATTTTTCGTGTAGAATCTTTTTGTCATCTATAGTAATAATTATTAAAACCTCCAATCTTTTTATGAAGGCTTTGTAGCCAACCAGTGGCACCTGTTTAGTTTATCTGTTCTTAGTATTATACACTGTGGAGTTGTTTCTGAATTAGGCAGTCTTTTAAAACCAATAAATAAAACTTGTGATCTAACCTGAATAGATTTTTTTTTCTTTTAAACCCATTTAGAAACAGCTGTTTTACTGTTTTATTTTTACCCTTCAGGGGTTGTTTGCATTTTAATATCTGAAGTTAAAAAACACACAGTAGTTTTATTTTGTTTATATTTTATTTATAGTTATAATTTATTTATAATTTTGATTTATAAGGTCATCCCAACTCCTTTTTCTGACCTGGACTACTCAGAGGGCTAACATCAAAACTGAAATCTTCATATTTTTTATTAAAAGAGGCAGAGAATCTTATTTGTAATGGTAGAAATGATATCAGGCCCTCAGGGCACCCTACAATCTATGGAATATCTTGCTGCAGCATTATTGCAACATCAACAAATGGATTTACAAATAATTAACATGCAAAATGCCATGATGCAACTAACAGTATTTTGGACAAGAGTTGCCTCACCCAGCTTCCCAGCACCCACTGCAAGCTGGTCCTGAATTAAAATGCACCTTACCCTTGCAGTTGACAATAAAAGATCACAGAGAATTCTTGCCATTCTATATGACTGCTTCCTTACACATTCCCATCATGCTGGGGATTGATTGGCAACAATGGATATGCACTGGGAGTAAGGAACAATTTCTTTTCCATCCCCAAAATGTCAATACCACCAACTGTAATCTTCCCATTCTCAACATCCATGCCTATGAAGCTTGCTGACTCTCCTACCCTTCCTCCTACCAAAAAAAAAAATACACAGACTTTCCAGATGTGTTTGAGGTTCAGGAGGCAACTGCGCTGCTTCCACATTGGATATGTGACTGTACCATTAACTTGAAACTGGGAGCTGAAATGCCAGTGGAAAGGCAGTATCCCATGGCTATTTGAGAGTTAGCCATCTTGAAGGAATTTTTGGATGACAGTTTGAAAAAGCATTTATTTACCCTTCCAAATCTCCAGCATCTACATCCACATTTTTTATCCCTAAGGGAGATGGTTCTGTTAAAATAGTGCATGATTGTAAACTCCTAAACCGTGTGACCAGTGGGGACCACTACCTGATGCCTCACCTGGACAGCCTCCAGAACACACTTGTTTTCATGGAGTTGGACTTGAGAAGCACAATTTGATCAGGATGAAAAATGGACATGAATACTTCTGCATTGGACACCAGATATGCCAAATTCGAATACACAGTAATACCTTTTGGCTTGGTAAATTGCAGGCTCGTCTTCTCCAGATTCATGAATGAAATATTTTCTGATGTTTTGGACAAATGCATAGTAGTGTACTTAGATACGTAGTGAGCTTTTTGGAAGACAGTTTGCATGAGAC